CCTCGGACAGCGCCACCCAGATCTCTATCGTCCCTGCAGTCACAGTGTCTGTAAGGACTCGGGCTGCTCCCACCGGCAGCAGTGGCTAACACCCATATAGGAGACTATACAGGGAGTGATCTCTCAGCGCCGCCTGCTTCCCAAATCTGTACCCTTGTGCTATCCAGTGGAGCTCCTCGCCCCAGTCCCGCTTCCTCTTCTCCCCATACGCCCGCAGTCCCCGCTTCAATGTCTGCACCAGTCGCTCAGTCAACCCATCGCTCTGTGGGTGGTATCGCGAAGTGCGCCTGTGGGTGATCCCAGTCTCCTCCAGCAGCTTCTTAAACTCCCCCTGGAACTCTGTCCCTTGATCCGTGAGGACCTCTGCACATGCCCTGAACCTGCACACCACCTGTTCCTTGAACGCTGCAGCCACGTGTCTGGAGCTCTTGCTCGGGATCGCCCTCACCTCTAGCCATTTGCTCACCACCCTGTCTTCAACAGATGCACTGTCCTCTTGTGCCCAAAGTGCCCCACCTTGTTGTGGACCTCCTTAATCACTACTTCTCTTTCGCTTGGAGCCGGCACCAGCTTCCATCCGTCCTCTGTCTGCACCTGCAGTTGCTGCTGGTACCAACGGTAGTGCTGGCCCCTTGCCCTCACTCGTGGCGGCAGCGCTTCGTCCTCTCCCGTCTCTCCCTTCACCCAACGCATGGCCAGCACGTCCTCCCAAATGTCTGCTGGCCCCTTCCCCTCGTTGGCCCCATTCTGCTCCACCAATCTGGCCAGCATTGTCAAGGTCACAGTGGGCTCGAGCGGTGGGGGGTTCCGAGAGAGGCCATCCACGTGTTGCAGTGTTTTTCCTGGCCTGTGCCTGATCTTGAAGTCATACTCCTGCAGCTTCATCGCCCATCTTGCATTCCTGCCCGTCAGTCCCGGGGTTGACATCAGCCACGTCAGGGGCTGGTGGTCTGTCACTAAGGTGAATTCCCTCCCCTGCAGGTATACCCTGAAATGCCCCACTGCCCATACGGCCGCCAACCCCTCTCCGATGTAGGAGCTGTACTGTGCCTCTGCCGAGTTGCAGCTTCTGCTCGCATACGCCACTACCTTCTCCTCTCCTTCCACCTCCTGGCAGAGAATTCCCCCCATCCCCTGGCTGCTCCAATCGGTGTAGAGCGTGAACGGCTGATCAGCGGCGGGCAGCTTGAGTACCGTTGCGGTCTTCACTGCTGCCATCAAGTCCTGCAGTGCCCCTTTCTGTGCTTCTCCCCACTCCCACGCCTTGTCCTCCCGCAATAGCCCATTCAACACCGCCGCTCGCTTGCTGAAGTTGGGCACAAACCGCCTGTAGTAGCTCAAGAAACCCAGCACTGCTCTCAGCCCTGACTTGTCCTTCGGCTCCCTCAGTCTGTCCAGCACTTCCACCTTGGCCTGTTGGATCCCAATCTGTCCCTCTTTCACCTCATACCCCAAGTACTGCACCGTCTGTTCCCCCCATCTGCACTTCTTCGGGTGGCAGGTGAGTCCTGCTGCTTCAATCGCCGCCATGGTCCTCTCCACATCCTGCAGGTGCTGCTGCTCTGTGGTGCTGAAGATCACCACATCATCAATGTAGCAGGCCGCGCACTCCACTCCCCGCAGCACGCTATCCATGACCCTCTGGAACACTGCTGATGCGTTCCGCAGTCCAAACGGCATGTACAACCACTCGTACAGCCCGTCTGGCCCATGAAAGGCCGTCTTCCGGATATCCTCCTCTCGAATCTTGATCTGGTTGAACCCCTGCCGCAGGTCCAGCGTAGTGAAGAACACCCCCTCTGCCAGTTTGTCAAAGATCTCCTCCGCCATCGGCATCGGGTACCTGTCTGCAACGGTAACTTTGTTGAGTGCCCTGTAGTCTCCACACATCCTCCTGCTTAGCACCTCTCCTGTCAGGTCTCGCCTGGCTGCCACCACTGTTGGTGTGGCATACTCGGACTCCGATCTCCTAATCAGTCCCGCTTCCAGCAGCTCCTTGATCTTCTCCTTGCAGATCTCCTCATCCCCGGGTGGCATCTTCCTCCTGCGCTGGAACACTGGTTCTGTGCTGCTCAGCTTCAGCTCCATCTCCTTCACCTTGCACCTCCCCAGTTCCTGCATGGTGAAAGCGAAACACTTCTTGTGCCTGGCGAGCAGCTCTTGCATGGCCTCCTTTCCCTCCTTGCTCATCGCTTCCCCCACCACCCAGCTCTCCTCCTCCTTCTCCTGGCAGCTCCATGCTCCCCGCGGCTCCGCCTCACTCCTTCCCTTCCCTTCCTCCTGCCCCCAGCTCACGACCGTCTCCCGCCACATTCGCTGAATCAGCCACCTCATCACGTGGCCATCCATTGCATTCCCCAGAGCCCTCCTCCTGTCCGCTTCACTTGCCCCAGGTGCTGCCGTTGCGTCTTCTCCGTACCCCATAGCCAGCTCCCGTTCCAGTGCCGTGGGCTCCTCCCATCTCCCCCTCTTGTGGTCATACACCATCCCCGGCCCAGGCTTCCCTGCTTCCCACTTGTACCCTGCTGCCCCCACATACGCCACCAGCGTGGGCAGAGCCCGCCTCTCCTGCCCCACTTGGTTGCACTGCTCGTGCCTGCTGTAGCTCTTGCGACACACCGGTGCTGGGGTCCGCCCTGGTGCCAGGATGTCCTGCACCTTCCTCCCTGCTGCTCGCCTCACCCCCTCTATCTCTGCTTGCAGCTGCGCGGCAGGGACCACATTCTGCTAGTACATTCTGAGCCTGTGCGCATAAGATCCCATTCTGGCCGCATCACAGCTCACCCCTGCTCCTAGCTGCCCCCTGATTCTGTCCCTCACCAGGCGGATCGGCTCTCTGCTATCTCCCTCCAGGTCCAGATTCTCCAGCAGGTATGCCACCCTGCCCTGCCTCTCCTGCAGCCACTCCATGATTCGGAACAGGTCCTCCAGCAACCCTGTCCTGTGATCTTCTCCTCCCCTGCCCTTGCCTGCCCAAGATACCCCTTGGCATTCCCACCCTGCCACCAGCAGATCCACCTGCCCCCAGCTCGCCACCTCCGCCTCACCTATCTCCTGCACATCGTGGATCGTCCCCCCCATCGCCTTGCTGACCACTTCCTCACTCAGCAGTTCTGGGAACTCCGCCTGCAACTTCCTGGCATGGTGCTGCGCTATCCTCCTCACCCCGGGTTCCTTCTCCACATATGTCCATCTCTTCACTGCTATCCCATTCCTCACCACCGCGGCCAGCCCTGCCCCTATCCCCCCAAATAACTCCACCAGGTGGATGGGCTGCTGCCAATCACTCTGCTGCTGTGGTTTGTCCATCCCCTTCATTCTGGGCGCTCCTCCCATCTCTGACGGCCCTCCCTGCTCCCCCGGCAGCCGCTCCCCCACGGCCTGGTAAGCTCTCTTCGGCTCCACCTTCACGAATCGCACTGGCAGCTCTCCCAGCGGCCCCTCCCTTTTCCAGTATCTAGTCCTGAACTCCACCTTCTCCGTCCATGTGCAGATGGTCATCCCCACCGCATACACCAGCTCGGTGCCTACCAGCACGTCAAAGTCCTCCGACTCGGAAATCCCACACTTCATGCGGATTTTGGTTTCGTGTTCCCCCCCCGGCAGCAGCGTCACCTCGATGGGCGTCCGTGTGCATGGCATCCACTTCGGCTCCCCCCCTTCCGCTGTCATCACCAGCATCCCCTTGGCCACATGTCTCTCCGGCGCCAGCAATCCTAGCTTCTCAGCCATCCCTCTGCCCAGCATCACACTCTGTGCCCCCGTATCGATAATGGCTGTCTTTACCTTCTCTCCCTCCACTTCCATGGCTCCCTTCTCGAGCAGCAGCACCGAAGTCTGGCATGCCAGCCTCTCTTGGGGATGGCGTGCGGGGGCTGGCTCCTGGGCTGGCTCGGCTGGCTTTTCTCCCTTCACCTGTTCCTTCCTTCTTTGCTCCTGCCTGCCATCCTTACCTCCGCTCCTCAGACCCATCTCCTCCCTCCCCCTCCACGCCATGAGAGCACACTGCACATCCTGCTCCCCCTCCTCTCCTCTCCCGTCTCCCGCGTACATCCCTGCCTCGGCCTCCCCCTTCAGCCCGGTCGCCCTCAGCTGTGCCTGCAACCTACTAATCTGCCGCTGCAGCTCATCGGGATGCCTCCTACTCCCCCCTTCCCTCTGGTAGCAATCCTTCGCCTCATGTCCCTGCCTCTTGCAGATTTCACACCTGGCTGCATCCGGACACTCCCGCTTCCTGTGCCCTGGCTTCCCACACCCGTCACAATTCTTGCAATCCCTGCGCAGATGGCCTGGCTGTCCGCACCTGTGGCATGTCCGGGTGTCCGCCCCTGGCTCCCCCCGTCCCTCCGTTCTCCCTCCTCCTCCTGGTATCATAGCCGCCGCCCATGTTGGCCGCCTGCTCCTCTCTGCTGGCCTGGGGAGATACGCCTCAAACCGCCTTTGTGCTAGCTCCACCCTCTCTGCCAGAGCGAACACCTCCTCCAGGCTTGCATCCGCTCCTAGCTCATACACCCTCATCCTCAGCCCCCCTCCTAAGGCCTCGTCCAAGCCCCCCAGGAACTTGCTGATGAGGAGACTGCTGTCCGTGCACCTCACGTCCTCCGCCACATTGATCAACCGGTTATAGTAGGTCAGTAGTGACTCAGTCCGGCCCCTGCTGAATTCCTGGAACTCCCTTATGCGCTCTACCGTGTGACCCGGGAATTGCCGCTGCAGCCGCTCCAAGAATGCCTCGGTGGGGTCCTCGCCGTACCTCCCCGCCCTCCACAGCAGTTCCTCCATCCTCATGCGGTAGAGCGTCTCGGCCTCTCCCTCCAGCATATTCGGCAAACTCAGGAAGAAGTCCACTGGGTCCATGTGGTGCCGGTCGCAGCGGTACCGGACATTCCCCACCTGCATGAGATAGTTCTTGAGGGTCGGCCCTGCACGCTGGTCGCCTGAGAATCTGGCGGGCACCTCCACCCGCGGGGTGCTGCTGCCACCCCCACGTCCCTCTCCCCATGATTCACTGGCCCCTTCTGGCCGACTCCTCTCCGCTCCCCTTGCCCGTGCCCTTTGCATGCCCTCTCTGGCCTCCCGCGCCCGCTCTGCTCCCTGCGCCAGTGTTCCGCCCTCCGTTCTGCCCTCTTGGCGACTTCCTCCTGACTCGTACCGCCTCTCCCGCGATCCTCCCCGCCCTTCCGCCCGTCCCCACTGTGGCGTCGGCGGCCCGCGCGCCTCCCGCTCCTCCCATCTGCCCGTCTCGCGCCACGGCCGCCTCTCTGGCGATGGTGACCAGGCGTCCAGGTGCTCCCTCCAAGTGCGCGGCTAGCGACGCTCTGGTGATCGCCGCTCCCCCGCGTACTTCTCCCTCCGCGTGTGATGTCCATCAGGCGAGCGGGACCAGCTGCTGTCTCTCCGCTCCCTCTGCCTCGTCCGGCCTGGCGAGCGCAAGGTGCTGCTGCGCCCCCCTTGCTGCTGACCGTGCCGTTTCGGCGACGCAGGTTCCGCCGCTTGCTCCTTGTCGCCGCGCGTCTGCCGTTGTCCTGACGAATGCGAGGCGCCACCGCTCCACCCTCCCTGTTCCTGGCGCTCGCCGTGCGGGCGGAACTCGCCCACGCGCCATTCTCCGTGGCGCCGCTCCCTCTCCGGCGAGCGAGACCTCTCCGCTTTCCCCTTATGGCGCGGACTCGGTGCCTGCCCCGCTCGATCGCTCATCTCTGGCGCCCCTCGCTCCCGCCGTCTGGAGTTCTCCGCGTGACGTCCCTCCCCGTGGGGACTCGCTCGCTCGCGCGATCCCGACAGCGGGGCCTCTGACTCTGCGACCGCGGCCTGGCTCGTCCCCGCTAGCGCCTCCGCTTGCACGGTTTCTGCTTCGCCGGTTCCCCCTAGTCGTGCCTCATCCGCTCTCTCTACTTCCGCCTCCTCGTCCGGACCTCCTAGTTCCTCCTCATCGTCCTCCGCGTCTCGCTCCGACGTCTGTTCCCACGCTACATTGTGCTGCGAGTCCCCCCCGTGAGCGTCGATCCCGCCGTCCCCTCCTCGTCCGCGGGACTGCTCTCCGAAACCCAGCCACCGCCCTCTCTCATCGCGGAATCATCCGCGATCTTCCGGTGAGTGGAATACCCCTGCGCCGCTGCGACTCCCGCCCTCCGCGCCAGTTCCGCGTACGCTCTCTCGCGGCCACGCATCTCGATCCGTGCGTTCGACGAGCCCTTCGCCGCTCGCTCGCGCATCCGATGCACGGCCGTCCCTCGCAGCAGGGACCCGATCCGCGCGGAAGGCGGGGCGGCGCGGCGACCGCTCCCAGGATCGCCCACGTTCTCGCAACGGTTCGCGCTGCTCCCGTTCTTCCTCACGTCGGCTATACGCCCTACCCCAGCGCAGCTCGTATTTATCCATCTCGTTCGCGCTAGGAGATTACAGTCCTAGCCTCCGTATGCCCCTATCTCGTCTGTAATGAAAGCGCTACGTCCCTCACCCCGTAGGTTCCGTCTTAGTGCCAAGCTGTAGTGTGCTAGAGCGTGAAACAGCGACTTCCACTAGTTCGAGAGAATTACAGACGAGAAAGCAAGAAGAGGATGGGAGGGAGGAGCCTTACCCCACCCCAGGCTGCACGTTTCCACATGTGCGGCTCGGGTGGGGGGTTACCAGGTTTGACCCTTTTCGCCTCTCGAGGCCTTTTCCCTCCCAAATCCAACCGCTCCTATCCTATTTCCCCTCTTCTACACCCCTTCCCAACAGTAACTATGTTTCCTACTACACCTAATCCTACTTGTTGTTTCCTATTCTTATAACCAGCTAGCCTTGCTATAATTGTAGTGTCCAGCCCACCCTGTTCCATCGATCCATTGTTATTGCATATGCATGAAGTGCATATGCGGTGACACTTGTTGGTCCAACAAACACGTGGACCAGCTGGCTTAATGGTCCATCAAGCACGTGGACCAGTCAAGCACACGGACCAACTGGCTTGCTGGTCCATGAATCACGTGGACCAGCTCTCTTCTTGGTCCAACAAACACGTGGACCAACTGGCTTCTTGGTTTAACAAACATTTGGACCAAGTGGCTTCTTGGTCCAACAAACACGTGGACCAACTCGCTTGTTGGTCCATCAAACCTGCGGACCAACTGGCTTGTTGGTCCAACAAACACGTGGACCACCTGGCTTGTTGGTCCATCAAACACGTGGACCACCTGGCTTGCTGGTCTATCAAACCTGCGGACCAACTGGCTTGTTGGTCCAACAAACACGTGGACCAACTGGCTTGTTGGTCCATCAAACACGTGGACCACCTGGCTTGCTGGTCCATCAAACACGTGGACTACTTGGCTTGTTGGTCCAACACACATGAGGACCAACCGGCTTGTTGGTCCATCACACACGTCGACCAACCGGCATGTTGGTCCAACACACACGTGGACCAACTGGCTTGTTGGTCCAACAAACACGTGGACCACCCGGCTTGTTGGTCCAACAAACACGTGGACCAACTGGCTTGCTGGTCTATCAAACACGTAGACCACCTGGCTTGTTGGTCCAACACACACATGGACCAACCGGTTTGTTGGTCCATCACACACGTTGACCAACCGGCTTGTTGGTCCAACACACACGTGGACCAACCGGCTTGTTGGTCCAACAAACACGTGGACCACCCGGCTTGTTGGTCCAACAAACTTGTGGACCAGCTGGCTTGTTGGTCCAACAAACACGTGGACCAGCTGGCTTGTTGGTCCAACAAACACGTGGACCACCTGGCTTGCTGGTCCATCAAACACGTGGACTACCTGGCTTGTTGGTCCAACACACACGAGGACCAACCGGCTTGTTGGTCCATCACACACGTCGACCAACCGGCATGTTGGTCCAACACACACGTGGACCAACTGGCTTGTTGGTCCAACAAACACGTGGACCACCCGGCTTGTTGGTCCAACAAACACGTGGACCAACTTGCTTGCTGGTCTATCAAACACGTGGACCACCTGGCTTGTTGGTCCATCAAACACGTGGACCAACCGGCTTGTTGGTCCATCACACACGTTGACCAACCGGCTTGTTGTTCCAACACACACGTGGACCAACCGGCTTGGTGGTCCAACAAACACGTGGACCACCCGGCTTGTTGGTCCAACAAACACGTGGACCAGCCGGCTTGTTGGTCCAACAAACACGTGGACCAGCTGGCTTGTTGGTCCAACAAACACGTGGACCAGCTGGCTTGCTGGTCCAACAAACACGTGGACCAGCTGGCTTGTTGGTCCAACAAACACGTGGACCAGCTGGCTTGTTGGTCCAAAAAACACGTGGACCAGCTGGCTTGCTCGTCCATCAACCACGTGGACCAACTGGCTTGTTGGTCCAACAAGCACGTGGACCAGCTGGCTTGTTGGTTTAACAAGCACTTGGACCAGCTGGCTTGCTGGTCCATCAAACATGTGGACCAACTGGCTTGCTGGTCCATCAAACACGTGGACCAGCTGGCTTGCTGGCCCATCAAACACGTGGACCAACTGGCTTGCTAGTCCATCAAACACGTGGACCAGCTCTCATCTTGGTCCAACAAACACGTGGACCAACTGGCTTCTTGGTCCATCAAACACGTGGACCAAGTGGCTTCTCCAACAAACACATGGACCAACTCGCTTGTTGGTCCATCAAACCTGCAGACCAACTGGCTTGTTGGTCCAACAAACACGTGGACCAACTCGCTTGATGGTCCATCAAACACGTGGACCACCTGGCTTGCTGGTCCAACACACACGAGGACCAACCGGCTTGTTGGTCCATCACACACGTCGACCAGCCGGCATGTTGGTCCAACACACACGTGGACCAACTGGCTTGTTGGTCCAACAAACACGTGGACCACCCGGCTTGTTGGTCCAACAAACACGTGGACCAACTGGCTTGTTGGTCCAACAAGCACGTGGACCACGTCGCTTGTTGGTTTAACAAGCACGTAACACGTGGACCAACTGGCTTGTTGGTCCAACAAATACGTGGACCAACTGGCTTGCTGGTCCAACAAGCACGTGGACCAAGTGGCTTGTTGGTTTAACAAGCACGTGGACCACCTGGCTTGTTGGTTTAACAACCACATGGACCAACTAGCTTGTTGGTCCATCAAACACGTGGACCACCTGGCCTGCGGGTCCATCAAACACATGGACCAACTGGCTTGCTGGTCCATCAAACACGTTGACCAACTGGATTGCTGGTCCATCAAACACGTGGACAACCTGGCTTGCTTGTCCAACAAACACGTAGACCAACTGGCTTGTTGGTCCATCAAACACGTGGACCAACTGGCTTGTTGGTCCATCAAACACGAGGACCAACTGGCTTGCTGGTCCATAAATCACGTAGACCAACTGGCTTACTGGTCCAACAAATCTGTGGACCAACATGCTTGCTGGTCCAACAAACACGTAGACCAACTGGCTTGTTGGTTCAACAAACACGTGGACCAGCTGGCTTGTTGGTCCAACAAACACGTGGACCACCTGGCTTGTTGGTCCAACACACACGTGGACCACCTGGCTTGTTGGTCCATCACACACGTCGACCAACCGGCTTGTTGGTCCATCAAACACGTCGACAACCTGGCTTGCTTGTCCAACAAACACGTAGGCCAACTGGCTTTTTGGTCCATCAAACACGTGGACCAACTGGCTTGTTGGTCCATCAAACACGTGGACCAACTGGCTTGTTGGTCCATCAAACACGTGGACCAACTGGCTTGGTGGTCCATAAATCACGTGGACCAACTGGCTTACTGGTCCAACAAATCTGTGGACCAACATGCTTGCTGGTCCATCAAACACATGGACCAACTGGCTTGTCGGTTCAACAAACACGTGGACCAGCTGGCTTGTTGGTCCAACAAACACGTGGACCACCTGGCTTGTTGGTCCAACACACACGTGGACCACCTGGCTTGTTGGTCCATCACACATGTCGACCAACCGGCTTGTTGGTCCAACACACTCGTGGACCAACCGGCTTGTTGGTCCAACAAACACGTGGACCAGCTGGCTTGTTGGTCCAACAAACTCGTGGACCAGCCGGCTTGTTGGTCCAACAAACACGTGGACCAGCTGGCTTGTTGGTCCAACAAACACGTGGACCAGCTGGCTTGTTGGTCCAACAAACACGTGGACCAGCTGGCTTGTTGGTCCAACAAACGCGTGGACCAGCTGGCTTGTTGGTCCAACAAACACGTGGACCAGCTGGCTTGTTGGTCCAACAAACACGTGGACCAGCTGGCTTGTTTATCCATCCATCAAACACGTGGACCAACTGGCTTGCTGGTCCATCAAACACGTGGACCAGCTGGCATGCTGGCCCATCAAACACGTGGACCAGCTGGCTTGCTGGTCCATCAAACACGTGGACCAGCTGGCTTGTTGGTCCATCAAGCACGTGGACCAGCTGGCTTGTTGGTCCAACAAACACGTGGACCAGCTGGCTTGTTGGTCCAACAAACACGTGGACCAGCACGCTTGTTGGTCCATCAAGCACGTGGACCAGCTGGCTTGCTCCTCCATCAAGCACGTGGACCAATTGGCTTGTTGGTCCAATAAGCATGTGGACTAGCTGGTTTGCTGGTCCATCAAACACGTGGACCAACTGGCTTGCTGGTCCATCAAACACGTGGACCAGCTGGCTTGCTGGCCCATCAAACACGTGGACCAACTGGCTTGCTGGTCCATCAAACACGTGGACCAGCTCTCTTCTTGGTCCAACTAACACGTAGACCAACTGGCTTCTTGGTCCATCAAACACGTGGACCAAGTGGCTTCTTGGTCCAAGAAACACGTGGACCAACTCGCTTGTTGGTCCATCAAACCTGCGGACCAACTGGCTTGTTGGTTCAACAAACATGTGGACCAACTGGCTTGTTGGTCCATCAAACACGTGGACCACCTGGCTTGTTGGTCCAACAAACACGTGCACCAGCTGGCTTGTTGGTCCAACAAACACGTGGACCAGCAGGCTTGTTGGTCCATCAAGCACGTGGACCAGCTGGCTTGCTCGTCCATCAAGCACGTGGACCAATTGGCTTGTTGGTCCAACAAGCACGTGGACCAGCTGGTTTGCTGGTCCATCAAACACGTGGACCAACTGGCTTGCTGGTCCATCAAATACGTGGACCAGCTGGCTTGCTGGCCCATCATACACGTGGACCAACTGGCTTGCTGGTCCATCAAACACGTGGACCAGCTCTCTTCTTGGTCCAACTAACACGTGGACCAACTGGCTTCTTGATCCATCAAACACGTGGACCAAGTGGCTTCTTGGTCCAAGAAACACGTGGACCAACTCGCTTGTTGGTCCATCAAACCTGCGGACCAACTGGCTTGTTGGTCCAACAAACACGTGGACCAACTGGCTTGTTGGTCCATCAAACACGTGGACCACTAGGCTTGTTGGTCCAACAAACACGTGGACCAGCTGGCTTGTTGGTCCAACAAACACGTGGACCAGCAGGCTTGTTGGTCCATCAAGCACGTGGACCAGCTGGCTTGCTCGTCCAT